ATTTTATTCGTAAACTGCTCCACAAAACAGACTGGTTAACAGACAGTAAAGCTATGGTACCAGTATGTCTTTTGAATAAACTGTGTGAGTCATTAGTAAATGTTTAAAAAAGCTTGTGACCAGGCCTTTGAGCCAAATGAATACTGTCCACATTTGCTTGTTCCTGAGCGTCCATTTTTTCCATAAACGTCTACCCAATTCCGATGCGTGAAATGCCAAGCTGACGAGGACCCTCAATTGTAGTATGAATGGAACCACATGCGAGTCTGTGTGACCACCAATCTTTCCAAGTCTAGAATGGTTTTCAACGTTACGTTTAGTCGGTTTTAGCCAATTTGGGGCCCTGTCAAAAGTGTAACAGGTGTCACAGCATTACAGATTCACACACCCATAGTCATCACACAAAAGGTTTTATATGGGAGCAATCACCGATATTAAGCAACAAGCCGGGAATTGAATAGTACTGTATAATAATCACTAAGCACAAACTAGTCACTGGCTAGGCATTTCATACAGTTGGAGATATGTTTTAAAAAAGCTCTCCTTGTTGATACTTTAAAGAATGTTCCAATGTGTGAAAAAATATGTCAATCCTGCAAAATATTGCAGGAACTTGCTAGAATTTAACATCTTTACTTTAAAGAATTTCGGAAGGAGACAAGATTTCCAAAAAAAAAATGGGACTTATCTGTACCCTATGTTATTGCTATAAGCTTTGTTAAGTGATGAACCTTAGTTTTAGTATGATTTGCTCCCAAATTGCCATAGAAATCCACTAAAACTCAGCTGGGAGGATTAAGTTTTTCCAATTTCCAGACGGCAGTCTGAAAAATAGCAGTCAAAAGTAGGGCAACCTGCTTACTTTTGAACCTATGAGTCTGACTGTCAACTCTGCAGACAGACACCAGGGGAAGGGATTTTTTGGTCCTAAAGTTTCTATGAAAATATAGGCCGGATAAACCACTTGTATATTTTCAGCCCGGAACCCAAATTTTTTAAGTGACAAGTCTTTCTGGTAGCCAGGCTCCCAAACACATACCGGGGTTGTTAGAATATGGGAACGCACAACAAAACAGACCCACAACACATTTCTGTTTTCATACTTTAGATATATATATATATTTATTTTAAAAAAAACTGTACTGACGCATATAGTGTAGGGCAATGTTTATTAGCAATGCTGCCTTTCTGAATGTAAAGTTTATTAATGGAAACACAAATAGTGTGAATCTCAGGTTTAGAAAAGTAAACTATGACTTAGAGTGCACTGCTTTTGACTTTCCTGTGACTTAGTATTGCATTGCATAACATGCAAAAATTGGTGAATGTTGTGTACAAGTACAATATTAAATAAATACGATGATTTGATGATATATAATAAAACCATATAAATGTGAAAGAATACAGTTTTTAAACTCATTATTATAAAATGTGTCTTAGTGTCTTATTTTATTCTCATTTAAAATTATGTCAGAAAGTCTGAATATTTAATTATGTAGGCTGTTATTTATTTACTATTGATTACTGGGTCTTTACAACACTCATATGCACTAGCTGTGGTTTTGCCCTGCTTCTATGGAGTCCCAAAACCAACATAAAGTTGTAAAAGGTTATCATTCAAGTCAAACATATTACTGAATATATGAATATTGAATACTGTAGTTAAATAGTTACAATAGACCTTTGTATTGCAACTTCTTGAATCTTGAATTTTGGATCTAGAGTGTAAAAATGCTTATATATAAGGCTTTATTATTTAAAATAATTACTTGATGTTCATGTTATTTTTCATTTCCTTCATTTTTCCTTTTTTGTCTAGATCAGGGGTCGGCAACCCGCAGCTCCGGAGCCGCATGCGGCTCTTTCGTCCCTCCCCTGCGGCTTCCGAGCTGTGTGGAGTAAGGACGCTGATCAAAGTCCTTCACTTTTTCAGGCTAACTGCCTCAGAATAGCAGCAACTATTCACTCAACAGTGAACAAGCAAGAGTTTCACAACAACTGAATGACATTGAATGCCACACCACTCACACTCATGGTTGTAACATCAACCAAAAACACTGAACTCCCACAGTGCATTGCAGCACATATACTCCTTGCTATTTAATTCAAATGTATTTTATTTTAGTTCGTTAGTTTTTTAAATATAATTCTAAATTTGAATTTATGGTGATCTTGTAACATTAAAATAAAATGTGTTTAATTTTTTGTCGCTCAAAATATACGTCACAACTGCCGAAGTGCGACACCCGCCGGCAGGCCCAGCCTGCTATTTATTGAACTTTTCGACCCCAGGTAAGCCAACCATAGATAAATCTAAGAAAAGAAAAGTTTCTGAAGAAAACAGAACATTCAATGCTATGTGGGCAGATTCATTTGCTTTCACCCCTGACGAGACTGGTTTACCAGTATGCTTAATATATGGTGAGAAATTGGCAAACAACAAAAAGTCAAATGTTGCAAGACATTTCCAGAATAAGCACACAGCCGACAAAGATATGTGGGTGTCCAAGTTCCAGCGATTGACAGCTGATCTTGAAGATGTAGCCCGTCAGAAGGCCATGCTTGCTCACAATCACAAATGGAAAGAGATTGAAAACCTTCCCAAACCGGACCAACTTGTTTTTGAAACGTGGAATGCCATCCCCGACACTTACACCAACATGAAAAAATATGCATTTGGAGTCCTGTCGATATTCGGATCCAC